GCACGGAGGTGGAGCTCGGTCTTATAATTCTTCAATAAACTATTATTTTACCAAGGAAAGGGAGCTGATGGGTGGGAAGTGTGTTGACATAACACGGGAGAAAATTAGAGTTTGTTCAAAATCGAGCTTTTGGAGTACAAAAATGACATGTACCTGGCTTGCCATTGAAGCCCTGGTGGTATAGCGTACTATGAGTTGGGCTAGTAACTGTAAGATCAGCCATCCAAACCCAACAGCTGCTTGCAGGGAGAAGAACGAGGCTAACTGTTCCCATACAGATCGACCGCTTGGGAAACCCAAAGAGCCAGTTCTACTCTGTCTTATAGAAGTCATGATAAACTGGAATCAACTTGATGGCAGTGGGGTTTGTTTGTTTACCTTGCTAAGTTTTAGGAAAGTGAAAGCTAATATGGTAGTGTCCATAGTCTAAACTAGCTATGGTTTGTCCTGAAGATTTGTACACATCCACATGAAGTTCATATTCAAACACTTCGGAATCACCTAATGCTAACCTGGGAGCCCTGGTGGTATAATGACTGTGGGCTGACCTGCTCATCACAAGATGAGCAGTTCTACACACTAGTGGGCTGCTCAGTGGGAGAAAGAGGAGGATTTCCACTCCTTTAAAGATTTGCAGTCTCAGAAACCCACGGGGGCAGTTGCACCCTGATCAAGGGGGTTGCTTTGAGTCAAAGTGGACTTGATGGCAGTGAGTTCAGGTTTCAAATTCAGAGGCTAAGGAGCCCCCCCACCCCCCCACCCCGCAGCAGTGCTGTCAGGTAAGTGTTGGACTGCAGACCTCAAGGTCAGATGTTAAAACCTGTGGGTTATCTACTCCCACAAAGATTCACTGCATCCGAAACCCTTCACAAGGTTGCCACAAGTAGGAATTGATTGGATGACAGTGGGGTTTTCTAAAGTAGAGTAGGACACCTCTCTACCTTTTCCTCATCTTACTCATCTCTAAAGTCCAGGCAGGCATCATTCTATCTGAAAACATTATTCCTTGACAGCAGTATTGGGCTTGGGGTGGAGCGGAGAGGGTTGGAAACACTACTCAGGAGGCGTTTTGATGGCAAACAAATAGGGTGCAAACTTTTGCAACAAGAGGAGAAAAGCCTTCTCTCATACCACGTATCATTCTTTGATCTCCAGCTTTTGCAGCGTCTTCTCCAAAGCAGTCCCCAGGAGGCTTTGTGCTTTCCGCCTCTAATTGCCATCCCAGAGGTCTGCAGAACCCTCCTACCACAGATTGCCCAGCGATTCCCTTTGACCAGAGTCAGTCAGCTAAAATTAAAGGGCTAGTGTGATCAAAGGCTGGGTGTTTACAGATTCAGGCTGGCATTTTTGTGGGGTCCTTCCTACTCTGGAACAGGGATGAGCAGGGAATAGGGAACTGCAGTGTTTGACCCCCTTGCAACCACAATAGAGCCACTTAAGAGCATGTAATAGCTTGTAGCCTCACCAAAGGCAACCTCTTGCTGTCTGACAAATACCACTTTGCTGGAAAGCATGAAGGAATCCATATTGCTCCTGTCGGTTTTTTACTTTCTCTCTACCACATTATGAAACTCACTCTAGCTTACAGATAGCTTGCAAGCTTAATCAATTCTGCTTAACTTCATTACCTAATGGTATATGTTTGCACAGTTGCACCTACTAAAGGGGAACTCTCAGTGGGTTCCCACCTCGGTGTCAGTGCGGGGGGGGCTGTGGTACATTCTACCTGTTTACCAGGCGAGGACACTAAAGCATAGAGAAGTTGAGTAAATATCTTAAAGCCAAGGTCAGCATGGGAATTTGAACCCATGCAGCCAGAGTTCAATTTTCTTTCTGTTACCTACTACATCACTGTCATATAAAATCAATAATTGGAAAGAAATAGTTTAAGCATTGCTTCTTTGAAATCGCTTAGCTCAACTCTTACGTACAGTTAAATCACCAAAACCTTGTGGCAGTGCCTCTATTGCTACAGTCCTCTTCATTAGGACATAAATGGAGAAAAAGGAGGGCTTTTCTCTATAGCCAAGTAGACTGCTTTCCGTGGAAACTCCCGATTTTCTGTTAAAGGACTGAGCTCTGTTACTACTTCTTTGGATTTTACTTAATGTCTTAGGATGGATTCCGTGTGTGTGTGTGTGTGTGTGTGTGTGTGTGTGTGTGTGTGTGTGTGTGTGTGAAGGAAAGGCCTCACACAGGTGTAAAGTGGGAAAACTCCAAATCTGTGGGTCAGAGGTTAAGCCTTCTCCTTAGTGGGGTCGGTGCAGGAGCTGATGAACCCTGGATTGGCAGGCAATATGGTAGACCACTGGCAAAATCCAAAAACACTAGAGGCTGATCAACCCACAGGCAAGATCCAGACCCAGCACTCCCTCCACCCCACCCTCCCACACACAGAGTAGAGCTTTCCACAGCATCCTTTTATATTGTGAGCAGGCCACAGATTCAGGGAGATCTCATCATAAAAATATGCCATAAGTAAGGCCAAACCATGGGGGATAATGGCCCAAATGATTTGACACAAAACTTTAACTGTTTTGCTTGCTTAACCTGTAAAATGAGGTTATAAAATAGAATCTACTTCCTGGGGGCTGTTATAGACATAAATTAAGTGCTTAACATAATTCCTGACATAATTCCTTAACTCTTTTTCTTTTCAATGTGTATTCAGCAATCCCTTGTAGAAATAAATTGTGATTCCTGAGGATCCTACTGTAATTCAGATCTCAGGACAAGATTAACCATCCTTGGAGTTTGATAATTACCTGTCATGTTAGACCAAACACACACACACACACACACACACACACACACACACACACTTACTCACTCACTCACTCACTCACTCACTGTCATAGTGTGGATTTCCACTCAAAGTCACCTTATAGGACAGGGTAGAACTGCCCCTGGGACTGTAAACCTTTACTGGAACAAAGTCATCCCAGGTATCACATGATAGAAAATGAACCCACTGTGTCTTGGGTCTACTAAAGTGCCAGTGTTTAACAGGAGATAATCAGACACATGAATTACATAATCGAACCAATTGTAATGATGAATATACAATTATTTTTAATACGATTGTACTATGGAAGTGTATGCTATATGAATTCTAACTCAATAAGGTTATGTTTTTATTTAGTCATCTGGCTTCCATCAGTGGACTAGCTTTTCTGCAATATTTTCCTCCTATCTATGGCTCAGGATAGAGCCCTGGAAAGGAAAAGGAGCCCTGGTGGTACAATGGGTTGTGCATTGGCCTGCTAACCACAAGGTCAGCAGTTCAAATCCACCAACATCTCTGAGGGAGAAAGGTGAGGCATTCTGTTCCAGTAAAGCTCTACAGTCTGAGAAACCCCGAAGGGCAGTTCTACCTTGTCTTGCGGGGTCATTTTGAGTAAGAATCCATTCACCCCATGGCACTGTTTGTTTGGTGTGTGTGTGTGTGTGTGTTTGTGTGTGTGTGTGTGTGGTGCAGCATGTGAGGAAATTATCAAACTCCAGAGATGGTCCATCTTGTCCTCAGATCTGAATTACAGTATGATCCCAAGGGATCACATCAGCTCCCACCCCTTCCCACTCTGCGCTGTGCTTCAGAGTGGATACTTATCAGGACCAAGGGCTTTCCTCTCTCTTTGAGTTAATTAGAAATGGAGAACAGGTATAGTCACTAGGGAGGAACAAAAAAGGAAAAAAAAAAAAAGAAGTAGCATACCCATGCTCTGAGGATGCACATTTCCGCTGCACCACAGCAGTCCCTCAGTGCCTGCTCACTGAGGTCTGAAGGCTGGAGCAGGTGTGGGAGATCCCTGGGGTGAGGGCAGAGGCAGGAAGGGAAGTGCCCTCTCCCTAGCCCCCTCCCTACTCTAAGGAAAACATTCCTATTCTACTTTCACCTCCAATCCTTCAGCTTTCCTCCCTCCCACACCAGGAGTCCTTGGAACTAAAGTGCCCTGCAGCCCAGCAGCCCTCTGAAAGCTCTCCTGAGACAATGGTGGGGGTGGGGGTGAAGGGGGAGGAGCGCCCACCTTTAGCCCCATCCTAGATGGAAAGCCTCCCACAAGGCACCTTAAGGGTTACCATTTCTTTTGCAGCAAAAAAAAAGAGGGGAGGAGGGTATTAAGTGGCTTTTCCAAAGGGACTAACCCCAAATTGAGAAACTGTCATTTTTTAAATGAAGTCAAATAGACACCCAATTACATTACTTTCTATGAAAAGCCAAAAAAAAAAAAAAATCCCAAACAAACACCCGCCCCCCACTGTTCACAGTGTGTGCACGCAGGTGACCCCATGTATTTGCTTATCGACTTGCCAGTCAATCATCTATATAATCTATATGCCACGGGGAGGGACGTCAATCACAGTTACTAAGAAATTCCTCGAACACCGCCGGCCAAGATCTCTTTTTACTATAGATCCGCCTGGGCATAGCTCTCATTTGATCGCACAAATGCCAAAGGAAGGATTTCTCAATCTGGTCTTGGGAGCATCCCTGTTGCCCAGGTCCTAGCCCCTCCCCTGGTGCCTTTTCCAGCTCCGCAAAGATGCTTTGTGCAAGAAAGTGCAAGTTGCCCCTTCTGGCTGGATTGATGGTTCCCTGTGCACTCCTCCTGACGCCCCCCCACCCCTAAAGCCAGCTAGCAAAGCAAATGGCCAGGGTCTCCTTGGTCGCCCCCCTCTCTTCCCCCTCCCCCAACGCAGGACCTGCATCTGCCAGGAGGAAAGCCGGAGAGGGAACGCGCATTCCAGAGCAGGCTGCTCCGACTCCGACCACAGGCTGTTTGGTACAGGCGGCTCCTCTCCTTTAAACTGGAGCATCCCCTCCCAGGAGCAGCCACTCCATTCCGCCGCATTTGCTATGCAGGCTGCAGGCAGAGGGGAGGTGGCTTCCTTAAGAAGGTTCAGTGGCTCAGGCATTGCCAGTTGACTAGTCGCCCAAGTTCCGGGAAGCCTGTGCCCTAAGGGAGTGTGCAGGTGTGGAGGTGACCATGGGGTGCCAGGGCCCTGGGGGACCGTCTGGGCTCTAGGTATTGCTTGCGTTGGCGGTTTCTGGTTTGCCTGCTGGAATTTGGAAGGGGTCATGCATCAGACTGACGCTCCTCGACCCCTGAACTGGACTATCCGGAAGCTATGCCACGCAGCCTTCCTGCCATCTGTCAGACTTCTTAAGGTACTGTAACTTGCTGCTTTCAATAGTTCTCGTTTTTTTACGTTTCTGCTAGGCATGCCCAACTTCCTAGTTGCGCTGGCACGCATCTTTTGGGGAGCTCAAAGGCATGTGGTTCTGGCGCTGTGCTGTCCCCTCCACCTGAAGGGGTTTCTCCATGTACCCCCTCTCCACCCCAGGGAGGAGGGGGTGTATTGAGCCATTCTTAAGTAAGAGGTTGTGGTCTCAGGAAATGCGCTTCCTGAGAGAACCATCCTGCAGATAAAATGAAATCCACTTCCAGGAGAGGTTGATTAGAAGCAGTCGTGGTATGAAATCTCTGATGCCCCTGTATGTGGCAGTTTTTTCTTTCTTTCTTTCTTTCCCCCTAAAACCTTCCCTAGGGAGGCTCTTCGACCCACTTTCCCTTTAAATGGAACCTGAGAGAACAAAGGAACCTCCTCACTCTATGAGAAGCCCTGTGTAGTTAGGTGGTTGGGCAGGTAAAGGCAAACAAAGAGTGACTTCTTTGGGTGCCCTGGTTTGGTTTGGTTTTTTTCAAAGGAAGAAAGGTGTGTTCATTTGTCTCCCAAGTGAAGGGAGAGGTAGTGGTCCAGTGTGGTGCCCTGCCTGTCAAACATGCCTCCAGCTCTCTAGCTAACACTCACTGCCTCGCCTCAGAGTCACACAAAGAAAGGTACCACACCTGCGCTAGCATTGTCACCTCGTGTCTTGTGTAGAATTGCACACCTTGTGTAGCAGCGCTTCTTGTTCTAGAAGCCAAGAAATGAAAGGCAATTCATCTCCAACATCTGATTTTGAGGAAATGAAGTATCCCGAAAGGAAAACAAATGTCTTTCCCCATGAGGAGAAAGATGGGTGACGCTTCTTTGGGAAAAGTATGTTATCTCTCTGCATGGTCCCCCGATGCTTAAAGTGGGAAAGCACATTTCCGTATCACATATGGCATTTGGATATACTTGCCACTGGACATCAGTCTCACGGGCTACCCCAGAGGGAGGCTGGATTGGCCCTGGGTGAATTACACTTCTATCTCTGTTTCCAGGGGCTGTGTTCTGGAGGGTTAAGTTTGATGCACACTATTCATTTCCATTCAGCTAACCAATCCACTCTCAATGAGTTTTCCTTATCCTGTTAAACACAAACCAATATCAACTTTCGCAAAGGTTGCCCCCAAGCGCTGTTCAAGTCCCCATCTTATGGTTGTCATGGTGATTGCTCACTTCCCTAAGGAATATTTAGGAGGAAAGGCAGGATTGGGCATGGGGAAAAGAAAGCATCTTTGGTACAGTACTTTGACTGTAGTGGGATGTGTGTGGCAAGGCGCAGAAAGAGTGAAAACAGAATTAACAAATGGATGCAGTTTTCTCCAGAATCAGCAGTGAATAAAAGAGTCTGGAACCCTCTGTGCTGGAAAATGAGGGTTAAACTATGATCATTAAAACTGACTCTGAAAAAAAACCCCAAACTGATTCCGGCAATCCCATGTCAAACGGGAAGCATTGTCCAGTTAAAATCATTCATTGGCTGTTTCACTTACATAATGGCTCTCTAAACAAGTTTTATTAACAAATATTCTCATTTTTAAAGGAAAAGGTCATTCATTTTTTAGTTGCCACAAAACCATCTGACGAGTTTCTATTTGATATACTTTACTTACATTTTGAAGAGCTCAGTCTACTATTCACCTTATTTACCAAGAGACATTGTCAATATGCCACCAATTTAGTCATAGTCCTATAGTTCAATCCTGTTATTTTTTATTGGCATGCTACTTTATACAAATGACCGATTAAATGCATTCGTGAGCATCCATCCAACCCTCTCAACATTCAAAAGATGGGCTGTATTTTACAAGAGAACTTTCCAAATGACATCTGAATTTTTATAGACTATGGCTAGGCTACAAAACTAAATATTGAGCCCATTTCAGACCCTTTAAAACAAAACCCAGTGTTGCTACATTCTTTTGGAAACAGAAAAACAAAAAAAGACAGTTACTATGATCCACCTTTTGGATTTGACGGTTCTCTCTTTCCCCACCCCCACCCCCTCGGTTTGTGCTGTCTTAGCTAAGCTTTGCTACTTACTTCCTACGTATTCTTGTTCTGCCTTTTTCCCTTTCAAGTAAAATAGTATTTTATGAATAATGAGTTGCATCTTTTGGTCAATTTTCTTCTTGGATTGGTGTATAGGTTGAATATTAGACAAGTCATTCTGATTTTTCATTTGTTGCTTTCTGCTGTCTTGTGCTGTGCCTCCTCACACCCCATTATACTACTGTGATTGATGGGCTCTCTGACCACCCAAGGATCTATTAAAATTAGAAGCTTAAAAACCCAATTTTCCTACCCAACAGGTAATTTCTGTTCCTTCTCCAAGCATTGCTCTAATGGGATATGCCCTCTCCTGGGCTTGCCTTGTCAGCAAAAGCAGTACAAGGCAGGATGGCATGATTAGATTTGGCTAAACTCTAATCACTCACCCTTTCTGACAGAATGAGGTAGAGTCTCCCTGTCCTTGTCCTTCCCTAGAACGTGGGTTTCTTTGCTGACTTACTTCAGTACTGTGCTAATGTTTAGAGATGGCTTCATAATCCTATTTCCTATATTTCCATTTCCTAAGAGACACAGGATGCTGAAGCATTAGAAGGAGAAAGCTAACATCTGAAGCATGAATTAAACCTGGTGACTATTAGAACATACATAGTATTCCTTCTGGGGGAAAAAAACCCACATTTGTTATTTTGTTCTTCTCACCGTGAATTCTGAACTTGCCAACAGTTCAGATTTGCATTTGGAAATAGCAATTGCAAGCGGATTTCCGGATCCGCATATGGCAGTGATAGCCAGAAGACAGAGGCTGTTTTCAAACGGATAATTTTTAGATGGGACACTTTCCAAACTCTGTGTCTATTGTTGTCAATGGCTTCTCTCTTATGTGTTTGAAGATGTAAGCTGACTATTAACCACAAAAAGTCAAGTTTATTTTAGGGACAATGTTCTCAGCATACTTCAAAATCATTATCAGGTCTGGTTCTGACATTGTTTTATTTGGGAGATTTTATTTTGGGAACTTCTGTTGCATGTGAAAAGTCATTTTTAGAGCACAGAGCTTCCTTTGCGCTTCTGAGGATTGAAATCTTGGTGTGTTTACTAAAGAGAAGACTTCTGAGAAAACGGGTTTCCTTGAGAACTTTGTGTTGGACAGACAAGTGAACTAAAGCCACTCTATTAATAAAGACCAAATGATCGGTATCATGTTAGAATTACCAATGTTTGACATTAAGTCAGCATTGGCATGGCTTTTCCCACTTTAAAATAATATCAAAAAATCATAAAGAAATTATATTGTAATATAAACCGTGGATTCTAACCCTACTTGTGTTCCAGCTGTGTAACCTGGTGGTAAAATATTTAACTCTCCATAATTTGGGGTCTGCCTTATTTCTTGATTTATTTTTATGTAGGGCTTGGTCTTAGCCTGATTTTAACTTAGTGCTGGGATGTACTTTGATAAGCCACAAGCCTACTGGGCTTCCTGGGCAGGCAGCGACGAGTCCTTGGGGGGAGAAGCAGCTAAAGGGGATGGAGTATGACAATGCAGAAGTAAATGGAAGGAAGGCCCATGGGAACCAGTGTGAGAAATGACAGCCTTTGATCCTCATCCTGAAACCAGGAGGACTACCACGAAGAGGATTTTAGCAGGAAGGTGGCAAGCGGCCTCTGACTGTCCTGGCTAGATGGCATGGCAGTGGGTGGGATTTTGAGTGACTGGAAGCTGAGAGACTAACTAGATGGCTGAGAACCTAGACAAAGGAAAAGTAACGGAAGCAAATGATGGCTAGTGGATTGGTTGTGGTTGAAGGAAGTATCTAGAACAACTTCCGTCTCTGTCTTTGCTCTCTGATGGGACAGCAGGACCTGGTCATGAAAGAATGGCAGGGATTCTTGCTTGGTGGACCTGCTTGAGTAGTTAGAGAGGGTATTTCAGCTTTAACTCCAGTGGGACTCAAACAAAAGTAAAAGAACTGTTTCCATTCTTTTGAGGAAGGTGAGAACTTTTGAAAGTAAATGGCATAGAATTAGTAGCATCCTGTTTCACGTTCCCAGATTAAACTTTTGTTTTTGTGATGCACCTTTTTGTAGCATGATGTACAGAAAATTCCTCTTTCTCTGGAACGTATTTAAAAAGGTCCCCAGCCATTTCTTTTCTCCTTTTTGTCTTTTATACTTTCTACAACACAGAAGGGGGAATGAAAGTAAATTCAATTACACAGGAGAGTTACTAGAAAGAGCAAAGGGCAGGTGGGGCTTCAGCTCAGCTCCCAATCTGTCCATGTGCCCCTGCCTTCTATGTTGACCAATTGGTCCCATGCAGCTGTAACAATGCCCACTGTGTTGTCTCAGAAGCACAGCAAGATCTTAACAACCAAATGGGATGGTTTTGTTTTCGACAGTTGATACCCGCCATTCTAGACACTGAGCATATGGGAGTTTTCTTCTGTGTGTGTGTGTGTGTGTGTGTGTGTGTGTGTTCCAAAAGAAAAGCATTATGTTTAATTCATTTTAGTAGTATTTGTTATGCATCTCGACCCCAAGCTCCTCCTTTCCACACTGAGAATTCCAAAACTGTATGCAATAATGAAAATAATATCTGTAAACTATAATGTTTGCTGAGCCAGGACAACTCCTTACTGGACTGCATGTGAATGAGTATCCGTGACATTTTGACAAGAGAGGTAAAATGCACCTATTTTATCTGGACACTTAGGTGAATCATCGTGAAAGAGGTCAGGGAACTTGTGATGACCCAATTCTCTGACCCAAAGTGCCTTCAAGATGGGAAACCTGAAGGGAAAAATAACACTGCTTTTAGGCCAACAGCGCATGATGAAGTAGGACTCTAATGGTTACAAATAAAGAAACTACAACTTTTCCACGTCCTTAGTTGCCAGCCTCAGAAGAGAGAGAGAAAGAGAGAGAGAGAAAGAAAGAGAGAGA